ACTACACACTGAACTACACTGTCTGTATGTGTGTGTGTGTGTGTGTGTGTGTGTGTGTGTGTGGGATGATGATCACAGCTGCTGTCTGAGTGTCATCAGAGCTCACAGAATATGGGACTGATGAGGATCAAGCTTAGTATCCGGATCAGGGTTTATTTTAGCTCTGGCTTCTCTCCTCCAGTTTACTTACCTGTCAGGTAAGGAACGTTTATTGGTCTGAAGTGAAAGATGACCTGCAGTGACCTCATTAACAGTCTGCTGCATGCTACCCTGATTACCCATGATGCATCAGGACCTGCTCTTCACCGTTTATGACATGTTTTTCAAACATCAGAATCTTCAGGTGTGCCTGACAGCTGCAGCTCACCTGGCCCACCTCTTCCTACTCCTCATCCTCCTCCTCTTCCTCCTTCTCCTCGTCCTCATCCTCCTCCTCTTCCTCCTCCTCCTCGTCCTCTTCCTCCTTCTCTTCCTCCTCTTCCTCCTCCTCTTCCTCCTTCTCCTCGTCCTCTTCCTCCTTCTCTTCCTCCTCTTCCTCCTCCTCTTCCTCCTCCTCCTCATCCTCATCCTCCTCCTCTTCCTCGTCCTCCTCTTCCTCCTCCTCTTCCTCCTCTTCCTCCTCCTCTTCCTCATCCTCCTCCTCTTCCTACTCCTCCTCCTCGTCCTCCTCTTCCTCCTCCTCCTCCTCTTCCTACTCCTCTTCCTCCACCTCCTCCTCCTCCTCTTCTTCCTCCTGCTCCTCCTCCTCCTCGTCCTCATCCTCCTCCTCTTCCTCGTCCTCCTCGTCCTCCTCTTCCTGCTCCTCCTCCTCCTCTTCCTCCTCTTCCTCCTCTTCCTCCTCCTCCTCGTCTTCCTCTTCCTGCTCCTCCTCCTCCTCTTCCTCCTCTTCCTCCTCTTCCTCCTCCTTCTCTTCCTCCTCCTTCTCCTCCTTCTCTTCCTCCTCCTTCTCTTCCTCCTCCTCTTCCTCCTCCTCCTTCTCTTCCTCCTCCTTCTCTTCCCCCTCCTCTTCCTCCTTCTCTTCCTCCTCCTCCTCTTCCTCCTTCTCTTCCTCCTCCTCCTCCTCTTCCTCCTCCTCCTCCTCCTCTTCCTCCTCCTCCTCCTCCTCTTTCTCCTCATCCTCCTCCTCCTCCTCCTCTTCCTCCTCCTCCTCCTCCTCTTCCTCCTCCTCCTCTTCCTCCTTCTCTTCCTCCTCCTCCTCTTCTTCCTCCTCCTCCTCCTTCTCTTCCTCCTCCTCCTCCTCCTCCTCTTCCTCCTCCTCCTCCTCATCCTCATCCTCCTCCTCTTCCTCCTCCTCTTCCTCCTCTTCCTCCTCTCTTCCTCGTCCTCCTCCTCTTCTCCTCCTCTTCCTCCTCTTCCTCCTCCTTCTCTTCCTCCTCCTTCTCCTCCTTCTCTTCCTCCTCCTCTTCCTCCTCCTCCTTCTCTTCCCCTCCTCTTCCTCCTCCTCTTCCTCCTCCTCCTCCTCCTCCTCTTCCTCTTCCTCCTCCTCTTCCTCCTCCTCCTCCTCCTCCTCCTCTTCCTCCTCCTCCTCCTCCTCCTCATCCTCCTCCTCTTCCTCCTCCTCTTCCTCCTCTTCCTCCTTCTCTTCCTCGTCCTCCTCTTCCTCCTCCTCTTCCTCCTCTTCCTCCTCCTCTTCCTCATCCTCCTCCTCTTCCTCCTCCTCCTCCTCCTCTTCCTCCTCCTCTTCCTCCTCTTCCTCCTCCTCCTCTTTCTCCTCCTCCTCCTCCTCCTCCTCCTCTTCCTCCTCCTCCTCCTCCTCTTCCTCCTCCTCTTCTTCCTCTTCCTCCTCCTCCTCTTCCTCAGGAGTGTGGGTAACACCTGGGCAGGTGAGCTGCTCTCACTGAAACTCAGGTTCTCTCACATGAACCACAACAAAGAGTTCTTAGAAACCTGAGCAGTTAAACCCTCTGACAGCATCTCATTACAGACTTAACACAACAAAACAGCAGCTTTACACTGAGCTGCTCCGTCATTGTCCTCCGCTCGTCAGGACTCTGAGTACTCAAACTGACCGACAGATCACGTCATGAACTGTTGAATAAATGTTCACTACGTCCACACCACATCTTCTCTGAAACTTCTGAAACTTCTGCAACCTTTGTCTGTTGTTGCTGTGATTTCAAATAGGTATGCACCTTTAAGAAAAAGCTAAAGAGCCAGCTCTTTCATGAATACCTACTAACTTAATGATGATGGTCTCCATATTATTGATGATGATGATGGTAATGACGATGGTTTTTGTTTGATAACGACGACTTATAAGATGGTTTCTATACTGATTAGAGCTCTCAAGAACTGCCCTCAATGTTGTGCTTTGCCTCTGGTCACTTCCTGTCAGCACCTGTGTGTCCAATCAGACTCAAAGCTGATCGTTTGCTCTTACTCACATTGTTCCCTTTTTTCTAGATCCTTGCTTGTGTTGTTCTTACTCTCTGATGTACGTCGCTTTGGAGAAAAGAGTCTGCTGAGTGAATTGTAGAATTGTATGGATATTAACTGTTCTACTGTACGAGCATCGCTGGTCCAGCAGGTACTAAACCTTTCTGAATGTCTCCAGCAGGGTCGTCATGGTAACAGAACTCTGAACTTCTACATGATTCTAGAAATACAAACCATATTCATTCCTCTTTTTTTCTCACCTTTGCACCTTGACCTCTCCCACACACACTTCAGAGACCACTCCTCTACCAGACGGAGGTAAGCCACTCCACTGTTGTATTTCCAGTATATTTATACCTGTTTGTTTCCACGGCAACAAAAACAGAAGTCACACCTCCATCCATCATCTAAACCACTTTTCCTGTTCAGGGTCGTGGGGGGGCTGGAGCCAATCAGCAGCTGTCATTTTGTGAGAGGCGCGGTTACACAATCACATGGGGTCCAAGACACCTAATATTGGATCATTTTTTTGTTTTTGAATGACCACAAACTGCAGACAAACTCCTGCACGTCATTCCTTCCTCTACCCGCTGTCCTGCTGCGACCTCACATCAGCATACTCAGACTTTCTACAGGAGGCTGGCTGGAGAAACACATCGTCTGTTTGCGTTCACACATCAGATCCACCGTCTATTCCCCCGAAAAAATAACACCAAATAAAATGTGTTTTCTGGCCTCCACCTCAGTAGCCACCTAAGTAAGCACTTTAATTCCAGAGTCAGTGGAATCCCTTTTCTTCCGTTCTGTTTACATCGTTATTTGGCCCATAGGCCGCAGCATGAGGTGTATTTATAGTTATTTGGGTTATAGTTCTTAATGTGAAGAGACAAGGTGGGCCAACTAGCAGGTGCAGCTGCGCCCTGCTCACGTTAACTGGAATGTATAAAGGAATAGGCGTTCAGACTGTTTTCTACATGTGGACATTTCTGTAAGTACTTTCCCAATTTTGCGAGTCGGCCATCTTTCAGCATCCTTCAGCCCCTGGAGAGCAGCTATAAGATTCCAGCTAGTGCTAGCTGAGGTTAGCTCTAAAATATCTCCTGAAGAAATGAGCAGCAGTGGATGCATACTGAGAGGAACCCCCCCCCACCCCCACAGTCTGTGGAGTCACTTGCAGTGGGCAGTAAGCCCTGCGCTCTGACTGACAGGCAGTCTTCTGTCACAAAGTGCAGAAACATCATCAGCTTTGGTTTCTTCATTCTGTAGTTTTGGTTTGATTTTCTGGGCTGTGAGCAACGGAGCTGCTTCTAATCTGACCTGCAGCTATTTACAGCATCGAATCTGACTGAGATTAACAGATTACAGGCTGGTAAACCAGCACACACACACACACACACACACACACACACACTCTCTGATAATAATAAACGGTTGCATAAACCTTTTTAACCTCCCTGTGTTTTGTTTTTCGGTCCGCTAGGCGCCTCGTCGTCGTCGGTTGTCAGCGTTTCTGTGAATGTTTCTATAAAGTTTGGATCGTGTTGCCGAGTGAAACCACGAGACAATGTTTGTCATTTATGTCGAATCAAAACTCAAATAAAGTGAAGAAGAACTAATCATAATGATAAGTGTTAACCTGAAGTTCTCTGACAGTACCCTGTATGACCACTATGTGGCGTTATAACACTAACTCTGCCAATTTCCACATAGTCCATGTCTGTCAGCATCACAGTTTTGCTTCGTCTGACGGTGCTCCCCCTGCCCCACTGGGTCAAGATCACAGGAGAACTACAAGATCACAGGAGAACTACGAGATCACAGGAGAACTACAAGATCACAAGAGAACTACAAGATCACATGAGACCTACAAGATCACATGAGAACTACAAGATCACAAGAGAACTACAAGCTCACAGGAGAACTACAAGATCACAAGAGAACTAAAAGATCACAGGAGAACTACAAGATCACAGGAGAACTACAAGATCACAAGAGAACTACAAGATCACAGGAGAACTACAAGATCACAGGAGAACTACAAGATCACAAGAGAACTACAAGATCACAGGAGAACTACAAGATCACAAGAGAACTACAAGATCACAGGAGAACTACAAGATCACAAGAGAACTACAAGATCACAGGAGAACTACAAGATCACAGGAGAACTACAAGATCACAGGAGAACTACAAGATCACAAGAGAACTACAAGATCACAGGAGAACTACAAGATCACAGGAGAACTACAAGATCACAGGAGAACTACAAGATCACAAGAGAACTACAAGATCACAGGAGAACTACAAGATCACATGAGAACTACAAGATCACAAGAGAACTACAAGATCACAGGAGAACTACAAGATCACAGGAGAACTACAAGATCAAAGGAGAACTTACTGTCATTGTCTGACTTCCTGTGTGTGTGTGTGTGTGTGTGTGTGTGTGTGTGTGTGTGTGTGTGTGTGTGTGTGTGCATTCTGACACTGATAATAAACAGAGGAAACCAGCTGATGTTGTCGCTGGCACTCGCTCGCATCACGGCGTAACACGTCATGCTCTGATTACCCAGAGGGGGCGTTATGTGAGGCTGTCAGTTTGTGTACGAGTTGCGTGTCAGTACCTTTTTTCCTCCACCAGGGGCTGTCTCTGACGGAGTATGACACGTCCTTGAACTCGATGTTGACTGCCGGTCTCCGTGGTAAAGAGGAGAACCTCTGGGCCTCCGTCAGGTTGTTTTCCACCTTCTTCAGGTGTCCCTGCAGCAGCGGCGTCTGCTGGCTGCCCGCCCGCTGTTTGTTGACCACCTCGTCCATACAAACGCACACCGTCCTGGGGTCCAACATGAGGTCTGGGGGCCCGTTGGTGTTCTGAGGGTCAGATCAGAGGCCGAGGTGTTATGGATGATTTTCACTGAGTATGAAAAGACATTTACAGCTCCCCCTGCTGACTGGCTGCAGGTCATAAGCTCCGCCTCCTCCATGTTAGCAGATGGGACATGAGTCAAACTATAAAATGTAAATACACGTCAGATACTTCTGTTTCTAACATGGTTCCTGGTTTCAAGATCAAGAGTTAATGCGGCCGCCAGAAGTAAAAAGCTAACGTTATGCTAAAGCTAACTACACCACGGTGGGATGATTGTGACGTCACTAGCGTTACGCTTCAGACGATCTCTGATAAACTAATCCACGTAGCTTAATAAATAGTTTACTAACATAATATTCACCTGAACCTAAAGATTAAACCTACAGGAGACATCTCCGACTAGTGAGAGAGTTCCCGCCCTCTGTGTCCGGCGTGATGACCTTTAATGACCCCGACAACCGCTGTAGTCACATTCAGCCGCTTGTTAGCAACCGCCTTTTTAAAGACGAGTAAAAACTTCAAACTTCACAAGTGGAGGTATTACCTAACGTAGTTTATGTGCTCTAACAAAACACCAACATCTCTTCAGCTTGTGTTCACCACAGACCTTATTTCAGGAGTCTAACCACAAACACATTCAAAATCCCCGTTGACTTTTAGACGTTAGACCCCATGGAGCTAACATGCTAACTTACTTCCTGGTTTTAGGACTCCTTCCTGTGGCGCCCTCTTGAACCGCAGTCTGTCTCCCTGCTGCAGGCCGAGCTCATCAACTGGACACACTTAAATCTGGTTTACTTTTTGGTGACTTAGTTATAAACACAAGAAACCTGTGAAGGGTAGGTGTTCAGTGAAGACCCCCCCCCCCAACCCTCGCTCCAGTCGTGCCCCATATATCCTACTGATGAGTCACATAACCTACCGCATGGCCATTAGTCGCCACCACAACCAAACCAGCGTCAACAGACCCAGGCTCGCTGATACTACCGACCCACCGCACGGCCCCTCGTGGCCCCGGGACATCACCGAGGTCATCAAGTGGGAACCTCCTATCACCTTGGCCAATTACTCCCACGACAGCTCGGGAAGGCAGGACAGTGAGCTCCAGCGTCCCAGAGTGCCCACCCCACAGACAACATAGAGCTATTCCTGGTGCCGTCAAAACAAACATGTGTGTGGAGAGATCTTAGAAAGAGGGCGGGGCATATTAGTACCTGAGTTTTAGAGTTGGTGCACTGATGAGCGTGTGAGCGTCCTGCTCCTCCATATGGACACTAATCTGAGGAGGAGGAGGAGGAGGTAACTGTCGGACAGAGAAGAGCTTAGTCACAGAGGATTTAAAGCCGACAAAGGGGCCGCAGACTGCTGCTGTGATTCAGCACAGAAACACCTCCACCTTCACAAACATGACTCGTCTCTCCTCCGCTGATCACTCGTCCTCTTGTGTAGTGAAACCTTTTTTGATATTTCCATTTGTTCATTCAGGATCTGCTCAGTCTGACATCAGAACCCCTTTAACTCAGACCCAACCAGTCGAGTTGTGTGATCTCTAAAGATTGTCAGGTAGATGATTCACTTTCAGCTCAATGTTTGCTCATAGATCATCATTTATCTATACCGCTCGTCCCACTCAGGGGTCACTGGGCGAGAGGCGGGGTTACACTCTGGACTGTTCACCAACCTCCTCGCAGAGAGACTCCTGTCAGACGGGGATTCAAACCAGGAACCTCCTCACAGAGAGACTCCTGAAGGACGGGGATTCAAACCAGGAACCTCCTCACAGAGAGACTCCTGAAGGACGGGGATTCAAACCAGGAACCTCCTCACAGAGAGACTCCTGAAGGACGGGGATTCAAACCAGGAACCTCCACACAGAGAGACTCCTGAAGGACGGGGATTCAAACCAGGAACCTCCTCGCAGAGAGACTCCTGAAGGACGGGGATTCAAACCAGGAACCTCCTCGCAGAGAGACTCCTGACAGACGGGGATTCAAACCAGGAACCTCCTCGCAGAGAGACTCCTGTCAGACGGGGATTCAAACCAGGAACCTCCTCGCAGAGAGACTCCTGAAGGACGGGGATTCAAACCAGGAACCTCCTCACAGAGAGACTCCTGAAGGACGGGGATTCAAACCAGGAACCTCCTCACAGAGAGACTCCTGACAGACGGGGGTTCAAACCAGGAACCTCCTCGCAGAGAGACTCCTGAAGGACGGGGATTCAAACCAGGAACCTCCTCGCAGAGAGACTCCTGAAGGACGGGGATTCAAACAGGAACCTCCTCGCAGAGAGACTCCTGAAGGACGGGGATTCAAACCAGGAACCTCCTCACAGAGAGACTCCTGTCAGACGGGATTCAAACCAGGAACCTCCTCACAGAGAGACTCCTGAAGGACGGGGTTCAAACAGGAACCTCCTCACAGAGAGACTCCTGAAGGACGGGGATTCAAACCAGGAACCTCCTCACAGAGAGACTCCTGAAGGACGGGGATTCAAACCAGGAACCTCCTCACAGAGAGACTCCTGAAGGACGGGGATTCAAACCAGGAACCTCCTCACAGAGAGACTCCTGACAGAAGGAATCAAACCAGGAACCTCCTCACAGAGAGACTCCTGAAGGACGGGGAATCAAACCAGGAACCTCCTCACAGAGAGACTCCTGAAGGACGGGGGTTCAAATTCGACGTACAAACCAATCTGATCCACAAATCACCCATAATGCACCTGGTTCAGGTTATCGACTTGTGTGAGGAGGACGGTAAAAACACCAGGAAGACGATGAACTCTCTGCAGGGATCCTTCACCCCAACCTCTCCCAGCATTCATTGAGGCCGGTTGTCTTTTTGTTGTAACAGGTGACATCACAAACTGTCGGCAGCTGAGATTAAGGTTCAATAAATACAAACTGTTAGCATGCTAACTCTGAGCTACTTTAAATTGTGACCATCAGAAGTAACTTCTCTCATTTACACACATTCATACACCGCCGACGAAGCAGCAGAGCAGCTCAGGGTTAAGGGTCTAGCCAAGGACTCGTCAGTCATGTTGCTGCAGGAGCTGGGAATCGAACCCCCAACCTTCCATTTGAGAGACGGCTGACTCTATCGACTGAGCCACAGCTGCCCACACAACCACACTGCTGTTTGTCCACCTTCAAAATAAAAGCACCACACTGCTGTTTGTCCACCTTCAAAATAAAAGCACCACACTGCTGTTTGTCCACCTTCAAAATAAAAGCACCACACTGCTGTTTGTCCACCTTCAAAATAAAAGCACCACACTGCTGTTTGTCCACCTTCAAAATAAAAGCACCACACTGCTGTTTTTCAACCTTCAAAATAAGGATTCAGGACGCCAATAAAACTTTAATAACTTTAAGTCCCAGTCTATGTCCCAGTATGTGTCCAAGTGTCTGCCAGTATATGTCTCAGAGTGTCCCAGTGTATGTCCCTGTATATCCCAGTGAATATTCCATTGTGTCCCAGTCTTTGTCCCAGTGTGTCCAAGTATGGCTCAGTCTTTGTCCCGTTATATCTCAGTGTGTCCCAGTATATGTCCCAGTGTGTCACAGTATGTCCCGGTGTGTCCCAGTGTGTCCCAGTGTGTCACAGTATGTCCCGGTGTGTCCCAGTGTGTGTCCCAGTGTGTCCCAGTGTGTCCCAGTATGTCCCAGTA